ACTCTTAGTATATTAAAAAAGTACTTTTTATTTACGGTCCATATAATTGTGTGAACCATGGTACATGCAATAATGATTGCCCTGGTCAATGGTATAATTTGTCAATCCAAATATATATATATATATATATATATATATATATATATATATATATATATATATATATATATATAAAAGAGCCCAAGAGAGCTAGACCTATAATGGGTAGAAAAAATGGCGATCAAATTTTTTAATCAAATGAATGACTCAGATTAATCAGATTTTAATTTTTCATTCAGATTTCCTAATTTATCCTTAATGAATATGATTATCCGTTAACTTTTCCGTTAATTTCTGTTAATTCACCGTTAACTTACTAATTGATTTCAATAAGAAAGGTCTTAGGTTCGAACCTCATCCCAATCAAAGTTGGCATAATTAGTACTCTATTTTACTTTTATATAATACATATGCATTTCTTTATTTTTATAATTATGTGTCTACAATGTCTTTATTCAAAAAAAAAAAATGATTCATTATCAATAAATTAAATAAGAGAAATAATTTCATTAGTTATATTGTCTTTATTTTTCTCCAATATAAAAAATTTTTACATTCAAATTCATCAATTGATTATATTCACTACATTATTCCTACAATATCTTTATTAAAAAAAATTATTCATTATCAATAAATTAATTAAGAGAAATAATTTTATTAGTTATATTGTCTTTATATTTCTCCAATGTAAAAAATCTTTACATTCAAAATCATCAATTAATTATATTCATTACACTGTCTATTATCTTTTTTGTGCACTATTTTTTTTAATTAAATATCAAAGTTATAATACAAAATAATGCTATATATTTATTTACCAAGTATTTTATTAATACCATGAAAAAATTATATATATATATATATATATAATTAATTAATTAATAAATCCAATCATATTAACTACTTGAGGGATTTGTTGACAAAGAGAGTATTGAAATCACACAAGAAATTGAAGTGAGAACTACCTCGCAATATCCTTGTTTAACAATCAGGAGTTAGCGGTTAGCGCTCGGATTATATTAGCGGATTTGACCAACAAATTATATAAACGGTTGGTAAAAAGATATTTGAAAAAATTAACTACTGTTTAGATTAACATGTAAAATGACCTAATGGTATACGTATATTTAATAATAATAATAATAATTGTTTAAAAAAATAAAATAAAAGAATATAATTAAGCCAATCATATTAACTACTTGTGAAATTTATTGACAAAAGAGTATTCAAATCACACAACAAATTGAAGTGAGAAATTAACTCGCAATGTCCTTGTTTGGCAATCAACAAGTTAGCTCTTCAATATTAGTATATATTTAATATTTTATGCCCTAATTTTTATTTGCTCTCCCTTATGTCCCGTATTTGGTTTCAAACATACCTATACAATTATTTTATTGACAATTTTAATCAACCTTATGTCCCATTTTTGGTTTCAACCATACCTATACAATTATTTTATTGACAATTTTAATCAATCTTGACTATATTATCTTGCATTTGTAAGCTTAGAATTACCTTTCTAAATGCGCAAATTTAACATTCAATTATCTATGCATTAACAATTCTCATATAATCTTGCCTTGATATACTTTAAAGTACTTATTAAAAAAAAAAAAAAACATTGGCCAGTATCTCAATCGCTCAATGCGCGTAAAAAACTAGTATATATGTGTGTGTGTGTGTGTGTGGCTATTTGGTAATTAGTCGATAATTGATAACTGATAACTGATTGGTTTATTTGATAATTGATTGTGTTAACTAGTTTGAACAACTAATTGTATTAGATAAGTATAGAAATGTGTTTGATAAATTAGTTACTCCTTCCGTCCCATTTTGTTTGTCTGGTTCGGTTAACGAGGCTTGACTGAAGCTATTTTTACTTCAATTTTTCATAATATTAAGTTTATTTTTAGTATATAAAATTTATATATTTAGAAACTACATTAAAAGTACTATTAAACATAAAAAATTAAATTTAAAAATAATTAAAAATTACTAAAGAAAATAAGCAATGAAGAAAGAGTTGGATTGACCAATGAATAGTAAACAGGACAGATAAAATGGGACAAAGAGAGTATTTTTTAATTTCTATTAGCTGATTGCATATAAAATGACATCTAAAAGATATGCTATTTTAAGTTTTAAATATAACATGAGATATAAATTCTTTTCAATATATGATTATAAAATTTGAGTCACCAATTATACTTTTCTTAAGGACATAAGTGCATTATTTTATTTATTTAACTATTATTAAATTATTTTCAATTTAATTAAAAAATTATTTTCAATTTTAAATATATAAATTTAAAATGACTTTATTGTAAAAACGATGATGATAATAGGTGGTTGTTGTTGTTGTTAGGGAAAATGACACTTTTTCTCTTTGAATTATATGCTTATAACATTATTTCCCTGAATTATTTATGCATTCACATTTTTCCTTTCAATTATTTTAAAATTGACTATTTTCCCTCTCCTTGCTAAATCGTCTTTTGGATTATTAAAAACAAGGGCAAAATAAGTATTTCAAGTCACTTTCCCAACAAATTATTGATTATATGTGGAATAAATGCAAAAAAAGAACAAACACCATTTGCAAGTGTTGTAATTTTAGTTCCACCATTTGCAAGTGTTATAATGGTGGAAGGGCCTACATTTTAAAGTAAAAGGTGGAATGAATGGTAAGGTCAACCATTCGTATTCGAGAGGTAGTAAAGTTTTAAGGTTCAAAAGGTTAACTCAAATAGTGACAGTTAACTATTCGAAAAGAACTACTCATGACAAACTCCGCAGAGACAGTGTGGGGTATGCCTAAAGTGGGCAGATCCCTTGTGCGCACCGACATTTGACTATGCTTGATAGCCATTAAGTCACCGTGATTTACAATCACCCAAATGCTCTGTCGGGTCGTGGTGTGGGCGGCCCTTGGGGTTGGAGATTCAACCTTTTGGGAAAAGAACTGCTCGAGCTAGACATTCTCTGAGCCAACAGTTCGAAACCTTAAAAACACTATTGAATGTGACCAAGACAAAGCGAGTCTAAGTTTCACATCCCAAGGAAGATTTTCCTTAAAACGCCAAGACATTTTGTGCAGAGCAAAAAGATATGTTCAACGTAAAATAAGTCTTTAACGGTTGGAAAATCTAACAAGTCTACCTAACCTCCGGATTACACACTGGTTTTTACTCACTGGACAATAGACTTTTTGAAATGGGGTTTCCCTCAAACGGATCCTTTTCAAAACGCCTATAAATACCCTCTTCCAAGGCTGAAGAATGAGCTAGTCAATCTAAGAAATTCATTAAGTGTTCAAGCATTCAGAAAGCTTCACAATTCGTGACCAGTGAGAGAGATCCAAAGCTACAAAGTTGTTATCCAGATCTTAGAAGTTTGTGTTGCTCAAATCGAGAAGATCAAGAACATTCAAAGCCAAGTCTTTTAGTTTGAGATTGAAGAACTTTTGTTTTCAACCAATAACTCTGCTTAGTAAAAGTAGAAAGAGACAGAGTAAACTCGTGTGGAGTTGAAAAACCTAGATACTCAAGACCGGCTTTGTGTTCAATGCTTGAGTGATCTTTTGTACTAACGGATTAGTGCAAACCGCCTTAGGAGTTTTAAGGAGAAAAGTATAGTAGGCTGAGTTGGCCAAACCACTATAAAAATATCTCTATCTCTCTTATTTTACTTTACTGCTTTATGCATTGCGCATCATTCACACAAACGTACTCTTACAAGAGCAAATTACGTGCAAAAATATTTAAAGGGTTAAAAAACAATTTTCCGTTGTGCATACTCAACAAAATTTTAACTGAGAAGAAGTAACCATTCGGATTTGCTTAACCGAATCATTAAAATTTTTAAAACCCTATTCAAGTATATTCACTCCCCCCCGCCCCCCCTCTAGACTTGAACCCCTTACCCACTGGGACCAACATAAACAATAATTTGTTGCAGAAGAAAAACAAATAAAATACTTATTTTGTTCTTATTTTTAGCAATTCAAAAGCATATTTAATATGGAGGGGAGAAAATTATAACTTTTAAAATAACTGAGGGGAAGAATGTAGATACATGAATAATTCAAGGGGAAAAAAATGCTATACGCATATAATTCAGATAGGAGAATGTCATTTATTCATTAAATGTCAAACCCGCAACCCGTTTAAAAGCAAATCCCTACCCAAATATTTTCGTTTGCCCCAAATCAAACACGAAGAAAACGGCAAGAAACAGAGGAGAATAAAAAGGGAAAGAATAAGAGGGGGAGAGAACATCAAAGAAATTAGCCAAGTTGGTGTCGATATCAGCAATGAGAAGATGAAGAACTGGTGATCGGAGATAGCAGCAAGGACGGAGATGACTCGAGTTGGTAGTCTTTTCATTGTTGTTGTTATTGTTTTATTTTTCTTTTAATTTGTGAATTAAAAAATATAGCTTGTGTGTTTGTTGTGTGTTATGAGTTTTGAGGATGAAAATGACTTTCGAGATGTGTTGATAATCTTTTTCATTATTTTTTCTCTACTTTTAATTTGTGAACTAAAAAATTTATGTTGCGTGTTTGCTATGTGTTATGTGTTATGTGTTATGAGTTTTGAGGATGAAGATGGAACCTTGAGTTGTCAAATAATGAAAAAAAAAATTAGGGGTAACTATTTCTCCATGAAGTAGAAAATAGAGATAATTTTGACTTTTAGAATAAGTTAGAACCAGTTAATTTACAAAGAATAGTGTTTTGAAAATCAAATAGTTGTCCCAATAAACTCCTTTACCAAATACCAAATAAAATAGGTCAAATCAATTGAAAAATAGCTGACTATTTTCCAAACATTTCCATGGATGTAATTGGTTGGATAGGATATTGTCTAATTATTTGTCATGGTTTATCTTTTATTTAGACTTATAAAATGAAATAGAAATAACAATGATTTTTTTCATTTCCACTTGTCACTCGTCACTCACACGCCTCTTTTACGCTAAAACGACACCACCTTCTCCTACAGTCCTAGCGGTCACCATTTTACAGAAATCACAAATTCGTCTTTTCCTCCTTCCTCTTTCTTTGCCTGCATATCAACATCGTTGATATGCTTTTCTTACTGAAATAAGAACAAATTTTGAACATGAAGGCTTTGGAGCATTAATACTACAAATTCATCCTCCTTATGTTCTTTCAATAATTCTTGATTTTTTTTTTGGGGGGTGAAAGTTGAAAAAGAAAGCTTTTTGTTGCCCTTTTGAGCCTTTAAAGGCGCAACTTTTTTCAGTTTTTGCAAGCATTAATGGAGGCTCTCATTTGTAATCATCTGCTTTGGTATCAGGTAAAGCTTGTGACGAACAGAAAAGGGGGGGAAAAGTGCACCAACTTTATTTATCAGTTTTCTTGATCTAAATTTATGGTTGTATTGTTGGTTTGAACAAATTTCAGAGAATTTTTTGTTTGTTTGAACAGGTAGATGAGTGAGAGTGTCTAATGTTGAGGAACAGATTGAGTGGCAAGCAAGGTTTCATGGCGGACGAGCAGAGCTCTTTGTCTTTCCCTGCAAAACCCCTTTCATCATTCTTGGGTTCTCCGAGAATCTTCAATGGGTTTTGGAATCGTTGTCGGTCTGATGCTGAAAATAGCTTGAGTATGAGCCCAACATCCATTCCTGATGGCAAACTTTTTCTCAATTTTGGTCACCCTTTTGGGTTTGATAGAACCCTAAACCCCTCCCCAACCCCAATCCCAAACCCTAGCATAGATAAGAAGGTAATAGATTCAGGAGTTGGACTCGCTCTCATCAACTCACTGAGTCATGACAAGAATGTTCTTGATTCTTCTCAGGTGGCTAATAACAGTAGAATGGTCCTGTTTGGATCAAACCTTAAGGTTCAAATCCCTTCTCCCCCTACCTTAGCACTTTCCCCTATGGGCTCCCCGAAATCTCCAGCTGATTTTGGAATCAAAACCCCCAGGACCACACAATTCTTGGGCTATTGTCTTCAGCCCAAAGAATCCCCTCCTCCTAAGGCTAAGGCCGAGGAGCTTTCCCTGAGTGAGATGGAGCTTTCTGAGGACTATACATGTGTGATCACTCATGGACCTAATCCGAAAACCACCCATGTATTCGATGACTGCATTGTGGAAAGCTGCTGTGGTATTGTTAGGTTGTCCGAGCTGAAAAAAGAAAACGGCTTTTCATCTGATCACTTGACCTCTCCTACAATGAATTCTCTGAGCTTTTGCCACACCTGCAAGATCAAGCTTGGACAAGGCAAAGATATCTACATGTATAGGTTAGTGTTTCCAGTTATTTTATCTGAATATTTGCTTCTCATTACCTTGAATTAGGTAGCTTTGATTCTCAAATGGGTAGAACTGATCAAAAACTAATTTTCTGGTCAGGTTAAATGTGAATTCTATAGCCTACACAATAGTTAATGAGATCCAAGAAACTTAAAAATGCAATTAGAAAAGTGGGCCAAAAAGTTGAACTTCTAAACACAAATTTTAGACAAGGTTTAAAGTGACTGAAAATATTTCTTATCGCTTCCAAGGTTATCGAGACATTAGAGTTATCGATCCTCAAAACTTAAAACTATTATGTTGGCACTAAGTGATGGATCTCAAAGCTGCATTATGCTTACTCCTGTAAGTCAAGCACGCTTAACTACAGAGTTCTTTGGTTATCTGGTTGTCATATCCTACTTAAAATGGTTATATGGTTGCCATATCCTACTTAAAACCAATTGGTGATAGGTGGATATTAACCATTTAACCACATCCCTCCATGGTAAGCCACAACACCATATCTCGAATCGAGTAAGGGCTAAATTCGGCCAACCCGGCCGATGCCCAACACTAGGGAGGTGACACACGCACTCAATTGAATGTATATACTCATTGGGGTGTCGAATTCTTACAAATATGAAATATCAAGTGTCTACTCTCTAAAATGACCCTTTGCTGCAGGGGATCAGGACATCAACAAGAAAAAACTTTATTGCTTTTGCTAATATTTGCCTTCAATTGAGTGTAAAAAACAGCATTTTTCTCTTATAATGATAATAATGTCGTTTTGACTTCATATACTGTTGCTTTTCTGTAGGAGCGATATGATTGCTTTGAAATTATATTATGATGATTAGATTAGATTGGTCCATCGGCAACAAAAACTCGATGTTTAGATTATTCTACTGTGATATGCAGGGGTGAAAAGTCATTTTGCAGCTATGAGTGCCTCTGCCAAGAAATGGTGTCAGAAGGAATAGAGAACCTGTAGATTATGGATGAATCCTCAACAATTTTTGCTTTCAATGGGGCTTAGCATCTTTTGAGGATTGATGCGAATAAGTTTCACTTTCACCAGGTTTTTACTTGTGATCAGCGGATAGATGTCTTAATATAGATCAAGAATTGTTCTACTTGGTCTTGTATGATATGAGATTTGTTTTCTTATGACTCTCTGTTTTTTTTTTTTTTCTTTTTTTTTTTTTTTGAGTTTATTTATTGCCCATCCTCTTTCCACCTGAATATAATCATATATAATGGATAGGGTGAAGGGTCATATGATGTAAATCTTTGTTTTAGTGTGATTGATTCCCTGGCTCTATTATATGGCATTCTTGCACTTAGTAGCCTAGTAGGTGATGATGTGTGATTGAATACTACCTTTTGAATTGTTTACCTTTCATATTAGTAAATATAATCAACTAGCTAATAGTCCAAATGGAATAAGAATATGTCACTGTCTTACAGCAATAATAATTAGACTTGATATCAAAGTTTATCATATTGTGACAATTTATTTTATCCAATGATGTATAACAATCAACATAATATCAATTTTGTTGACTTGACACAAATTATTTTAAAATATCAAATCATACAATTTTTTTTAAACATAATATATCAAATGTTTCATGCAATAAAAGATTTTAAAATTTGGGGTGTGAATGAGATGACATAGGTCTTCAGGTTCTATAGATACCGATGTAATTAGACAAAAATTAAACTCCAAAAAAAATCATATAGCCACCAAATTAAATCAAGAGTTGAATTATATATATATATATATATATATATATATATATATATATAGAGAGAGAGAGAGAGAGAGAGATATTCAAATGAGAACCACTCTCCAAGTGAGAACATGAGAACTAATCTTTGTGCTCTTTTTTTTATTTGGATTTGATTTCCTAAGTTATCATGGATTGATTTTTTTTTTTTAAGTGAGGGTAGTAGTGTCTGTTTCTTTTTTCTTTTTGTAACTCTTGCAGGTGTGGGCGTGTGGCGATTTGCTTTCTAAATTTTAGGATCATTATTACTGAGAATAAGAGTCGCGGTTTCTTCATCATCGATCGAGTGTTCGTCCTTTGAGAGTGACAAGTATTTTTTGTTTTATTTTCGCTTTTTTTTTTTTTGCGCATAATATTACCTATATTTGGATGTTGATGTATATGTATGCATTTTGGGTAGTACATGCATTCTGTTGTGTTGGTTGTGCAACCCAATATTGTGAGTTACGCATAGTAGATTGGTGAGATGTGCATTACTGCACTTAGTGCGGTGCATCATAGGACATTAGGATGTCCGTGGTAGGATGTTAGGCTGTGTTTGAATGCACAACCAAAGAGTTATCGATGCATGACATTTGGTATAGTACTGCACAATATTCTATATAGAAATGTACGATATTTTAGATAGGAAAGCAATATGAATGCACGGCCTAGGCCAAGCTAATAATCAAACCAAAGAGTTATCGATGCACAACATTCAGTATAGGTATGCATGATTTCTTGTATGGCAATGCACAATATTTTATATAAGAATGCACGGCAGGGGTCGAGCGAATAATCAAATACTGCTCAAAGGTCACAAGGCATATCAACAGGTTTACAAACTTGTTAGACTCAATGGATCTATTGAACCTGTCAACGGGTTTAATAGGCCTGTTAAACAGATGCATTGGTCCAACGGGACTGCTCAATGAGTCTATTAAACTGGTTGGGGATCAAATTGCCTTTCGGAGAAGTTTTTTTTTGCTCTTAATCAACGTGATTACGATGATCATCACAATCATGGATTGTCTGATATCCCATATTAGACCACACGTTCTCACATGGGAACTGGTCCGCACCTGAACGAGACCTTTTATATATACCTATTATTACACAATGCTATGGTTTCTATTGCACACACTTATGGACGAATATGCACAGTACTCAATATTCTCTCACAACATCGGAACTCTCAGTAAAATGCACACACCTGTTTACATTTTTGCACACACTAAGGGTAGGTCATATGCATACTAAAAAAACGTATATAAATAGGAAGGTTTTACTTTGTAAAAAAAAAAAAAAAAAAAAAAAAAAAGGTTCCACAACATTGGAGGCGCTCAGTAAAATGCACATACCAGTTTGCGAGTTTGCACACATTTAGGGTAGGTCATATGCATACTTAAAAAAGTACATAATTAGGGGAAGGGGTGGGGTTATACTTTGTAAAAAAATGTTGTTCACACTATTATACAAAAATGCACGCTAGTAAGCACAAACTGTTAGTAAATTGCAAACACTAGTTTGCTTGTTTGCACACTATGGTTTTAATTTTAATTTTTTTTTTCCCTACAATTGGTAGAATCCCTCTAAATAAGGATATTATTGTATTTAAATTATAATCTAATTCAAAGAAAAAACTAAAATTACTATGTCACCCCTATGTATTAAATATATCTTAATATAAATGGGTCTTTAAATTCAATCTTTACCATTAATTAAAATTAATTGGATGATTGAGATGGGATCTCGTTTACATATAAACTCCGTTGAAATTTTGTTTCACGTTACTTATGAAATAACAACAGTTATTGCGTGGACCATGGTCCCACAGTAAAAAAAAAAATGACGTCGTTTTGTCCAATATTTTTTTTTCATGCGACCCACTGCAACATACATTTTTATAACTCATAATATACATTATTCTAACTAATAAAGTACATTATTCTAACTCATAAAATACGTTATCTTACTCTAGAAGTTTCGTCACAAAATACATTATTTTAACACATAAAGTACTTTATTCTAACTCATAATATTCAATGGCTTCGTTTTGGATTGTGGTCCACACAATAGTTTGCCGTGAATTGAAATAAAGAGTTGGCTTAAGTGGTTCGGACTATTATGCCAACCCGCTAAATAATTTTTATCATAACCCTTAAATTTTCAGTCTTATTGAGCTAACTATTAATTTCGGGCTAAGATTCACATCATTATTTATGGGAGATATTCATATATATAATCAAAGTAAAAAAAAATAAAATATAGTTGTTGTAATTTGGCAGCAAAAGCTGCTATTTAGCAAGCTTGCTGAACAAGTGGCATTATATATATATATATATATATATATATATATATATATATAGGATCCGGATCAGGTGAGGACCTAATCTTAGGTGAGGACGTGAGGACCAATATTCTTGTGCGTTTGTTATTTTTATTTGGATGGCCTAGATTTGAGTTCTTGAGATGACATGGATTGATTTTTTTTTGTTAAAGTGGGGTAGTAGTGTCTTTTTCTATATTTTTTTAAGTGTGAACGCATGTGTAATCCCTGGCCAAATTGGTTTCCTATTTTCTTGGATCATCACCGTTGCAATTTGGAGCCGCGATTTCTTCATCATTGATTGAGTGTTCGCCCATGCAAACTGATCAGTATTTTTTATTTTTTTTCGTTCGTTCTTTTGAGTATAATATTGTCTATATTTGGATTGTCGTGTGTATGTATAAATGCCTGGGTAGTACGATTGTGCATTCGTGTGTGCTGATTGTGCAACCTAGTGTTGTAAGTTGTGCACTATAGGCTAGAGAGTTGTGCATTATAGCACATAGTTCAGTGCATCGTAGGACATTGGGATGTTCACTGTATGATTTTTTGGCGGGGTTTGAATGCACAACAATAAAGTTATCGATGCACAACACTCAGTATAGGAATGTACAACATTTTGTATAGGAATGCACATCTTTTAATAACACTGATTTACCCTAAATTTATATATTTTAATATTTTAAAGGGGTTTGTTTTCTTAATCCGTGTGATTTGTTCCTTTTAATCTCAGTCATACATCATTCTGATTTAATGGTCTAGATTAGTCCTCACGTCCTCACCTAAGATTAGGTCCTTACCTGATCCAGACTCTATATATATATATATATATATATATATATATATATATATATACATATATATATATATATATATACATATATATATATATATATATATATATATATATATATATTAAAGAGAGCTCATATGCTCAGGTGCAGCGGTGTGGCCTTATCTGTGTTGCTAAATCAGTTTAATCTAACAGTAGTAGCTAATTACTGAAGATTTGAAGATTTAAGTGTGTTTTGGTAAGTGGGGGTGTTATGGTAATTATAGTGGTCATTTATAGCGGTCGCTTGACAAGATACACTAACAGTGTTAACAAAAGGCACTAATAGTGTCAGGAAAAAAGCACATCAATGATATGCACAAACACACCAGAAAAACACACAACACACCCAAAAGAATACACCATATAACTCCCTCACCCCTAATGGTGTATTTCTAAACACTATGTGGTGCTTTTATTCATACCTAATGGTGCGTTTTGGTGATGCGTACCTAATTTGTGCATGATTTTTGGTGTGCAATTTCTAACATGGATGGTGTATATTTGTATAACTATTGGTGCGGCCGCACTGACCGCACGGGAAGGCGCGACCGCACTTGAACTTAGCACCAACTCGAATTCACAAAAACACCAAGTAAGTTTAATAATGCACCAATAACAAACATAAAACACATAACACTATGATTTGCCCTATTCCTATGCATAAATCTATATAGAGTTGAGATCGCAGCTGGTTGTGCGTTGGGTTAGGGATTTGTTCGTCGTTGTGTCGTCGTGTTGGTCGTCACCTGGAGGGAGTACGGTAGTTGAGCTTTGGGGTTGTGAATGCATAGTTCGTAATTTTGCAGTCAGTTATTCGTAAATGGAGAAACCTTTTGAATTTCAACAAGTTGACAAATTTACCCTGCAGTTCGCGTGTTATATATATATATATATATATATATATATATATATATATATATACACGGGGATGAAGAGAGCCTGAGGATGTGGATGTGATGTGGGCACAAAAAGAACAAAGATGGTGATGATTCAAAATCTGTGGACAGAGGCTATGAAGGGAACAATGGATGATCATGATGATCAACAACTAAAAACTAGTGCTTACAAAAATAAAGACTCCTACACCCAATGACCCAAAAAGGGGGGAAAACGAAAAGATTAGTGTAAATAGTAAGTGCAGCAGCAGCAGATCCAACTGGAGCTTTAGCAAAATGGAGCAACCTCTCCCCTCAAATTTGCGTCACTTTCTTCATCATCTTCTTCTTGTTGGCTTTGAAGATGCTCTGGTTTTGTGAGGGAAAGCGTAAGCCTCCCATTGGAGCGGTGGGTGTGGAAGTAAGAGGCAGGAGTAGTTGCTATATTCACAGCTTTGATCACTAAGCGACCCTCTTCACGGAAAGGCCTAACTTGAACACCCTCAAGGCGGCTTATTGAAGTGAGGGGAGGTGGAAAACTGCCCTTCTTCCCCTTCATTTTCTTGAACCCATAAGACTTTGAAAACCCTTGTTGGTATTTCTGTTTCTCCAACAAGAACAGCGAAGAAGAGCATTCATCCATGCAGCAGCTCTCGCAAATGTGGTCGCTGCCCGTTTCGCTTCCCAGACTCTCAGTGCACATGTTCAAGCTTTTGGCGTTCATGGTTGAAGGCTAGGAAGGGCGGTGGGAATGAAAAGGGAGATGATGATATGGTGGCGGGCTAGTTTGAGAAAACAATGTGAAATTAAAGCGTGAGGAATGGATATTTATATTTTTTGGTTGCCCAAAGGTATCCCTCCAGCCGAAAGTCAAAAGACTAATCCCCCGTCCCTACGGTCAGCACACTAAGTGGTAGGGGACTGGCCAAATGGTTTGCTCCATGGATATTTATATTGGTCATATACTTTCTCAACCTACTGAAACACAAAGAAATATGAGGCTCAAACTTAAAACCTTTCAAATGAAAATCCAACCCGGATACCATTAGACCACATAGTCCTGGTGTCTAGTTTTTTAATCTAATTTTTTATAATATTAAGTTTAGTATTAGTATACAAAATTTATATATATAGAAATTACACTAAAAGTATTACTCCGTATTAACCACAAAAGTTTAAATTTAAAAATGAGTAAAATATACTAAAGAAAATAAGCAAAGGAGAAAGAGTTGAGTTGACCAATAAATAATAAATTAAATAGTACAGATAAAATGAGACAGATAGAGTATTATAATTGGTACGGTAAGGCTAAGGCAAAAATTTGTGTGAGAGGGTTAGATAAAGATAAAAATGTAAGGCAAATACTTACATTAGAAAATGTAATACTAATTAAGAATAAAGTGTATGTTATTTATATAGATAATTGTACTGTGTATTCAGATTAGTTTGCAGGCTTATACAGCATGAGGGTTCCGATTTGGTCATTAATATATATACAATGATGTAGAGTGAATTAGAAAGTTTGAAATGATCTTTATGGAAATTAAAGGTTTGAGGCATTGTAAAATTAAGAACAATTTATTTTCTTTCTTTTTTTTTAATGATTCAATGGCACCAAGTTGAATTCCCACATGAAAGGTTGTGGCAATCTGCTGCAATGCAAGAAACAATCTTATGTAGTAGAAGGTAGATGTAAGTAATATTATAATTAATAATTATAATAGTTATACTATTATAATATAAGTTATTGTTTTAGAAATAATTTCACTATTATTAATATAGACGTTAAAATGATATCATCCTCAAGATTATCACGGTCTATCTTTAAATTCGTATAGTCACATCATAAGTCATAACTCACAACAACTTATAATAAATATAGAACAAAGAGAGATATAAAAAAAGAGAGTTTAAAAGTGACATTATAACAACTCTTAACAAAGTTACTTCTTATAACAACCCATAAATTATTATTATTATTATTATTATTATTATTATTATTATTATTAGAGTAAATACCCAAAATGGTCCCTCGATTATAGCTAAATTCACAAATTGGTCCTTGACTTTCAATTTTAACCAATTAAGTCCTTAACTTTGCAATTTTAACACGATTTGGTCCTCCATCCATTTGACCGTTTGTTGACTGTGATTTTTTAGGATATATATGTAATTTTATGGTCCATCGTCGATTTTTTAAGGTTCCGGTTGTATTTTTAGATCGCACTGTTACATTTGGATCCACCGTCGAAAGCAATCTGCCAAATCATGTCGCCTTTCTTCATCCTCCCTTTGGATTCAATGTAGTTGAGTTCGTACCAGAGTGAAGAAGACAACGTGTTTCCAAACCGGTGCAGCGTCATCCTGAAGGCCTACATGTGCTCCGATGAGAGCTGCAGGTTCTTCTGGAGATCGTTGATGACAGCGTGGGCGCGGGCGTTAATGCAGAAGTGTTCGAATGACCAAATCGTGTTAAAATTGCAATGTTAAGGACTTAATTGGTTAAAATTGAAAGTTGAGGATCAATTTGTGAATTTAGCTATAGTTGAGGGACCATTTTGGATATTTACTCTTATTATTATTATTATTATAAGCTACACATTTGGAAGTGAGAATGGATCAACTATACTTTTAATTGCCAACAATAGACAATTGAAAAAAGAAAAATCATAAAAAAGAAGACGATCATTGTTCTTTTTTTTCATTCTTTTTTTTTTTTGGAATAAGGGTCAAATAGACCATCAAACTGAACACAATAATGCAATTAGGTCATTGAACTCAAAAAATTACAATTGAGTCCCTAAACTAACCTATTTCAAGCAATTCGTCCAATTTACATGTTTCCCCAATTTCTAACCGGTCACTTAATTTAAAATATTTTTAAAAAATAATTAATTAAAATAAACTAAAAAGAAAAAGAATACATGGATCTTCGTCCGGCCATGGCCATGGCGCATTCTCTCTGCACTCCGCGAACTGTGCGAAGGCGAAGGCGCGAAGCGGAAGACGGAAGTGCGGAACGCCGAAACTGCCGACTGCGAACTCCAAGTCCCCGACCAGTGACTGGCGACCTGCGCGCTGCAAGTGCAGTTTGGCCTTCTCCAGTTCTCCTGGTCTCTCTGCGAAGTCGAAGCGGAAGTGCGGAACTACCGACTGCAAACTCCAAGTCTCCGACGGTGACCTACGCACTGCCAACTCCGGTCTCTCTCCCTATTGGCTACTCCCGTGGAAACGTTGCTTTTTTTTCTTTTTCTTTTTTTTTTAAAAAAAAGTTTATTTTAATTAATTATTAATTATTTTTTAAAAAATTATTTTTAAAAAATTATTTTTAAAAAATATTTTAAATTGGGTGACCTGTTAGAACGGGAAAAAAACTGCAAATTGAACAAATTGCTTAAAATAGATTAGTTTAGGGACTCAATTGTAGCTTCTTCTTTTTTTTTCAATGGTCTAATTGTATTATTGTGTGCGGTTCGATGACATATTTAACCCTTATTCTTTTTTTTTTTTTAATTCTCTTTATTTTGGATTCTTTGAAATGTGAATGCACACGTGGGCTTATCAACAATTATGGCATTTTATTTTTCATTTTGTATAAATGGTATGCTGAAAACGAATTTAAGAATTTTGATAGTTTGAGACTTTGAGTATTTTCAATATTTTGGCACGTCAAACAATAGCAATGATGTCAACCAAAGTCCAACATGCTGACTTTTGAAATTCATGATACCCCATCACTATAAGTCACATTATGAGAGAAACATTAGGTAAAAAAAATTGGAAGTGAAAATAACATTTCTGTTTGTAAATATGCATCAAATATTACCTGCATGTCGTACGTCTTAGGAATTAAAATTAAAACTGATTTTAAAAGAGTAAATTCCATTTTTAGTCCTCGACTATTGTGACATTGTCATATTTAGTCCTACTCTTTTAATTTTGCCATATTACATCCCCGACTTTAATTTGATTGTCACTATTAATCCTCTGTTAATCTACCGTTAAGAATAAGGTCAATAATGTAATTTAATAATTTGTCTGAAATACATATTAAAATTCATCTTTTTTTATTTAGACTTCCCCCCTCTTTCTCAAAAAAAAAAAAAAAAAAAAAAAAAAACTTTAATTCCGCGCTATCCTTTTTTTTTTTTGGGTTAATCGCGCTATCCCTTTCTCAGAATCATGATGCGATAAATCAGATATTATCAAATTCCAAGTTACTGTATCTCGGTAAACCATATTTAAAAACAATGTACGAGCAGCTTCAATGAGGCCACACTTTGAGTACATATTGATCAAAGCATTCCCAAAAATACTATACTGTGATCCTTATATCCCGTCTTCTCAAATCTCAACACATTGATGGCTGAGAATGAATTTCTTGCAGTGAAATTTTTTTCTGTAATGAATTTCCATACCCAAGTGCTGCTAGACTAGCACAAGCGTTCAGCAGTACCGCAAAAGTGTATTCATTTGGCAAAACACCCAGCATAAAAAAAATGAATTTAATTATGTATTTGAGACAAATTATTAAATTACATTATTGACCTTATTCTTAACGGTAGATTAACGGAAATTTTAACGGATGATCAATAGTGGCAATCAAATTAAAGTCAAAGGTGTAATATGGCAAAATTAAAAGAGTAGGACTAAATGTGGCCATACCACAATAATCGAGGACTAAAAATGGAATTTACTCATTTTAAAATATATTTAAAACATTAGTCAAAATAAAATTGCATGTATTCACTCTTAGGCCCTAACAATAAAACTAGAAAATCTTGTTGAGATTGTGGAATAATAAAGGAATAAGGTTCAAATTGGCCACTGAACGTAACTTGAAAATGCAATTAGGCCATTGAACGAAAAAAAAAAAAAAGTGCAATTAGGCCATTGAACATTCAAAAAATGTGCAATTAGGCCACTGAACTCTCCAAACGTATGCAATTTTACCGAATAGCAGGTTACCATCAATTTTAGCAGGTTACCTGCTTACGTGGCAGCTTAGTTGGCATTTTTAATAATTTTTAAATAATTTTTAATAATTAATTTTAATAATAAATTTTATAAAAAATTGGAAAAAATTAAATAAAAAATAAAATAAAGTCGTTTTTTATTTTTTTAAAAAAAATTAATAAAAAGTTATTATTAAAATTTATTAAAAATTAATTAAAATTTATTAAAAATGCCAACTCAGCTGCCACGTAAGCAGATAACCTGCTAAAATTGAGGGTAACCTGCTATCAGGTGAAATTGCACATTTTTGGAGTGTTCAGTGGCCTAATTGTATTTTTTTTTATTCAGTGACCTAATTGCATTTTCAGGTTACGTTCAGTGGCCAATTTGAACCTTATTCCAATAATAAATAAAGATGGAAAATATATCACTTCAATTTTTCTTTTCATGAGATTTACAATAACCTACCTCTTAGCAAAATGATAAAAGGAAAGTCCATAGCATGATTTGTGTGCATATTCTTATCCATCCAGTACACACCCTAAAAAGAAAGTCTAGACTTCAGTAATGAATTATTGTTTCCGGCCTCTAACTATAAAGTTAATAAATGTAGTGTAGCACTCGAGCTTAGTATAGTGGTTCATCATCTGATTTGAAGTTACAATTAGAGATAGTAGTGTGTGGTTTGAATCTTACTGAAAATATGAATGGAATCAAATAGTAATAGATGCTAATGGATTTTGGTGAAAGTATTTTGCATGTTTGGTA